AACATCATCACTCACTGAGAAATGCAGGTACATCCAGATGACGAGTCCCGACTAGGACGAAATGCACATCCTGGATTCCACTGCTAGTGACCATCCACCAATTAAATACTAATTAAATGCCCAGACATCGTCGAAGCATCTGCTCAAGAAGCCGACATGTCAACCTGAGACCGAGCACTTCGATCCAATCAATTGACGGGAAAAATCTAAAATTCAATTAAACATATATGGTTCAGAGACTTTTCCCACACACACACACTCACGTCAATATAAGCATTTCAATCAGTTTATTGCAGACTTTCATCAACAGACACCTTCACTCGGTACAAAAGATCAGATAGCCGACCAGTAAGGATAAACTACAAGGAGCTAGTGTGATAGAGAATCAGTCAACACAACCTGACGACGAAATAAATATTCGGCGGAAGTACATAGGCCTCTAGATGGAACTCAAATGGGAAATAACGAGTTGAGCATGAATCCAAAGGGGACTTGCAGAAGAAACAACAGCGCTATAGAACAGAGCTCAATAAAGATGGACTGTGTGAAGCCTCATGTTTCTCTGGGTACTCAAAGAATGCGAAAAAACAAACAATCATATTTTATCCAACAAATATCTTGTTTATTTTTGTTTGAAATGTTTTTGTTCAGTTTTGTTTGTTGTTTTTTCAATTTTTCACCTGAACATTGAACAAAATGTACACAGAATATATTTTTTTTCTGTCTCATTTCAACCTAGTGACTTTTAAATAACCACTAGGTATGATTTCATTAATTTTTTGACATGATAAATAAAGAAGAAATATTGTCAAGTTTCTTTTTTTCTTATTTCCCTTTTTTTCATTCCTTCTTATTATAAAGTCTAATGTTGTTTTTTTGTGTTTGTTTTGTTGCTTTTTTTCTTGATGCAATGATTTCATTTAGCAGGTGGTCAGTGCTTCGAGTTAATAATTTCAATTGATCTATACTTGGTTTACATAATTCCAAGGGAGTGGATGGCTTTCCTGATTGCTTTTCACGCCTATCCAATAATGATAAATCTACAAATGGAATAAGCAGCGGTAGTGTTGTTGAACTAAAATAGTGTGTTCGTTTACGATGAAGATTTACTTCACATGTTCTAAATAAACAAAAAGAAAAACAGACATTTAAGATGTATATATATATATATTGAACACATTGAATATTGGACATTGAACTTGAATATGACAAAAAATTTCCCCTCCAGGTATTTAGGCGAGTCAAATATTTTTCAACATATTCATTTAGAAAGATAATCTGATCTGGCTGGCTGGATTCAACATAGAACTTGGCACCGAAGTGAAGCAGTTCGAGTTGCCACGTTCCAAATAGCACACAAAGGTAGACAAGAAAATGAGTGAAGAGAATCAATAGAGTTTTGACAAGTATAAGAGTGAAACAGAATGAGTAATGGTAGAAAGGAATATGAAAGATTACAGAGACTGAATACATCTGCGTAAGCCATTGACAACGATTTTGAGCCATGTCACCTATTGTCTCCAGCCATTGATTCTTAGAGTCCCGAGGGCCCCAACCCGGAAGTCTGCATCTCCCTCCCTACCTGACTCAGTTTAACTGTCAGGGATTTCATGGATTGATGAGGCCATGTTTTTGTTTGGCCACCACTTACTCTTTTCCAACCTGCACCTGTATCAGCTAGTAATCCCCGTCCGTCGGGGGAGGCGATGGTTAGGCATGCGCAGCACGTGACCTAGCCATCTCAATCTATGTAACTTTATAGCCTCCTCGATTGATTTTCCCTCTTTGCCCAACACTCTACGCCTAACGTCAACATTACTTGCCTTATTATACCACCTAACGTGAGAAAGAGATCGTAGACATCTATGATCAAAAACAGTCAACCTTTTCATGTCTTCAACTCGTATTGGCCATGTTTCAGAGCCATAGAGAAGGACAGAGCGAACTGCTGAGCAGTACACACGTCCCTTGGTTGATAGTCGGATGTCACGCCTACGCCAGAGATGGTGTAAGTTAGCGAAAGTAGCCCGAGCTTTTTGGATCCGTGCTGAGATTTCGTCACCAATCAATCCGTTGGTGCTGATACAACTTCCCAAATAGGTGAAGTGGTCAACATGTTCTATCACTTCACTCCCTATCACTAAGCTAGGAGTTGACGTAGTCCAGTCCTGTAGCAGCATCTTACATTTTACAGGGGCGAATCGCATGCCAAACATACGAAGATTGCTGCTCAGGGTGTTCAGAAGACTCTGCATTCTGTCAGCATCCTCATAATCTCATCTGCTTATTGTAAGTGTGATAAGAATGAACCCTGATAATGTATGCCAATCCCTACTTAACACAATAAATCCATAATAAAATTAAACAAAAATAAGGACAGTAGGCATTCACAACGTCAATCCCCACTGGATGTCACCAGTTCAGATGACAACTGACTGTAAGCGTTTAAACAGTTGTTTGAGTTCAAATAGAGTGCCCTGATTACTGAGATATACTTTTTCGACACTTCTTTCATTGCCACAGCACATCTACGTTAATGGAGTCGACTTTCTCCTCTTGGTCAAGAAATATGATGAGTTTCAGATGCATGGAAGTACTCCTATGCTCCAAAATTTGTTGAAGGTTGAAGATTTTTTATCAGTATACCCTCTTCCCTGCCTAAAACTTTCTTGGTTTCCTGGTGTCTGTTTCTCCCGAGTACCCCACTTAATCTACGCATGATTATTGAACCTAGAACCTAAGACACCATATCAATCAAGTTTAACCCCCTATGGTTATGTTAGGAAAATTGGGATAATTAGTGATCAGTCAGTCGACGAGACTGTGAAATTACATCGACTGAGATGGTTAGGACATGTACTACGTATGCCTAGTCATCGCCTTCCTCGACAATAGGCAATGTTAGCTGACATAGGGTCAGGCTGGAAAAGAGCTAGCACATGGTGGTCAAACCAAAACATGGCACCAGTCAATGAAATCTACAACAGTTAGTTTAAGCCAGCCACGTAGGAAGGTGTAGACTTCCTGGTCGAGGTCCTCGGGACGGTAAAAACCAATGGTTGGAAACAATTGGTGACATGGCTCAAAATCGTTCTCAGTGATGGCTGGCGCAGATGCATCCACTCCTTGTGACTCATGATTTCCAATGAAACTGTTTTGTTCTTCGTTATTACTATTCCTTTGTCTCACACCTCTGTTTACTGTCTATATTATGCATTTCTTCTACTTTCTTCTCTTGCTTTGTGTGCTACATGGAATGTAGCGACTTGAACTGCCGCATATATGTGCAAAGTTCTATGTCGAAAACCGACCGACCGACCGAGTGATCATTCATTTTATCAGGTCTTGCTGCTTGGCTTCATTTCAAATTGTAGTCAACATTTAAGACCTTGGATACACTCTGAGAGACAATGCCAGTATCCCTCTTAGGTGGGTGTTGAATTCTGGCAAAGATGAGCACCGCAGTAGACCAGCTGAATTCCTCCATTGAAGTTCCAACTTCCTATCCTGAAGGCTTATTAAGGTGTTATTTTTCTTGCAGACTCGCCAGCTTACCAACTGTGGTTTACAATCTGCATCCTTGATAAGCTCAAATAATTGTTGAGTGTTATCGTTCGCTAAAGTATCTTTTCCATCACTTTCACATTTATCACCCACCACCGGTTTTGATAGTTGTGCAGACTTTTGGTTAGCTTGCTTTTCAAAAAGTTCTGTCACTTTTCATCATGTTTCGAGTTTGTCAGAATCAGCCTTTTTGTGTCAGTCAGTTTGGACGAAACAGCAGAAAGCCGCTTACATTTACTAAACTTTGGATTAAACTTAATCTGATGCTATAGATTGTGAGAATAAAATATTGACAGATGCACTTGGTTTGTAGGGATTTGATTGATTTCTTTTCCTTCACGTTCCCCAGTGGAATATAGGGCTCCAAGCTAGTGGCTTGAAGTTTCTGTAGCAGTGTTTATTTTACAGGATGGGGTTGCTAGCCTCGTGCCCAACCTTTCCTCTTCAGCAGGATTATTTCTGGCTTAGCGAGGTAAAGGAGTGCGTCCAGTGGCCGGGGATCGAACCCCGGACCATGTGCATGGTCGGCGAGTACCCTAACCGCTATGCCACCGACGCTCCGATTGATTGGTTACAAAATTTCATCATGAGCTGAGATCGGTTAGAGAACCATTGGAAGGGCACCAGGAACTACTGGACAAAGCTAGCTGTCTCGTCCTAGTTTGGCAATCTTCAGCAGTAAGCATCCACCTCCGGGGTTTGAACGCAGGATCTTTAGGATACAAGGCTAGCGAGCTCGTAGACCATTAAGTCACTGGGCCCCGATCCAGAGGCCCATGAAGTCCGACTTCTGCCAATTCATGACATAGTGCAACCGCTAGCCAATGTCAGCTCACGATGAAATCCTGTAACCAATCAATCAAATCCTCAAACTAACCTATACTTGAGTTCCAGTGAGATGCTCACTAGTGACTGGCCCTATTCAGGCAGGGTTCTAGCGGGATGTCGTGACCAGTAGGGTGCAGCAGATCGCATGTGAGGACAAATACTCGCCACCGCGGATGACAGTGTCTAGTGGTCGCGCTATTTGGTGAACTGGTAGAAGTTGGAATCTGGTCCCAGTGGCTTAATGGTCTACGAGGTCGCTCGCTCGCTCGCCTTGTAACCAGAAGGGTTCTCATCCTGGAGGAGGGTGGGCGCGTATTGATGAAGAGTCCCAAAACTAGGATGAAACAGCTGGCTGTTCAGTTAGCTGCCTGGTGGTTTTTTCAACGGTTCTCTAAGCGATATCAGCTCATAATAAGATTCTGTTATCAATCAAACGAAATCCGTACAAACCGATACTTGGAAAATTTGCTTCGCTATCTACGTCTTTTTCTTATGATTCAATCAATATACGGGAATATATTTCCTTCACAATCAAGGAGATAACAAGTGAAATGTAGAAACGCCCCCACACACACAAATACACACACTCACGCACAAAATAACAATACTCACAAATTAGGATCCGCTTGAAGTGAATCAGTTTCCGCGGCATTGGTTGTCACCGTAATACCTGGTGGGAATATATCCATAATGCAGGTTTCATCTAAGCCTTTCAAGTCTTTCTCTGCTGCATTCAACTTTTCCCGTGTTTTATGTGATAATTTATGTTTTGATAATCTAGTCTTTTTCATATCATCATTGTCAACAGCAGCAGCAGCAGCAGCGGTGTCATGACGACTGCCACCATCAGCATCAGCATCATCATCTTTAGCCTGATTCACATCCACCTCGTCGTCTTCGTCATCCTCATCGTCATCATCATCAACATCTTTGACACTATCATCTGCATAATCATGACGGATTTTCTTTAAATACTGTATCATACTCTGTTGTTGACGTATACGAAAGTCTTTAGCAAAACGTTTCTCCATATCACTAATATATTCAAATACACTACGGATTTTAAGCATTGTCAATTGTTGCCAGAAATGAAAATCACACAACTCCAAGATAAGTTCAAATAGAATTGATTCAATTGTCTTAGGATCTTCACCAACACCACCAGTACCAACACCAACACCAGCACCTCCACCCCCACCAGTACCATTACTTTGCTCTAAACCACGTAATTCTGGTTTATCTGAAAATGATATCAATAACTTTCCATAGATTCGTCCAAGACTAACTTTCCCCTCGATTGGATTACTGGAACATTCCCAAGCATGAAGAAGGTGAATCATAATGAAAGCAAGCGTATCCATTTGTACACAAGACTGAGATAAGGCTGTATGCTGTACAATACAACGAATTTGTTTATTTGGACGTAAAAATAAATCCAACAATGGTGACTGTACCATACACATTGTAGATGAACGTGAAAAATTCAATAGCTTTCTTTCTAATTCATTGAGAAATAATCTTAACGTCATAATTTTCACATCTAGCCTTAACTTGCCTATTATATGCTTCAATTTATTTTCATTATTCCAATAATAGATTAGCTTGATCAAGGCTATTTTTGCTTCTCCGTACGATTCGTGTAAATCATCAAATAATAAATTCCATGTTGTTTGATAACATTCTGCTTCAGTTTGATTGACTAAGATTTGAATGAATACAGGAACAAATGGTGCTAACAACGGGCGAAAATTTGTAATCATTAATGGTGTGAAAAATATACGTTTTGATGGGTGGAATATACTCACTTTCGTCTGTTCTCTTTGTTGTTGTTGCTTTTGTTGCTGTTGTTGTTGTCGATGTAATCTATCATCTATTTTACTATCACTACTTGATATTTGACTGACACTACTAGTACTAGGGAAAGGAGTACCAAGATCTTTCATCCCACTTATACTACTCATTTGAACGCCACTTGTTGTAGTAGTATCCGTACTTCTAATACTACTACTAGAAGTGATACTGCTAGCACTTACCTCATTCACACTTTGATCTTGTGATTGATACAACATACTTGCTGCTGTCAAATATAATATTGGTGTGGTTAAATTTTTATCTTTAGTCACTGAAATAACTGGTTGCTGAGAATTTATATTCAACGGAAGTTTTGGATATTCATCAACTAATAATTGACTTGTTAATAATTTATTCAGTTTATTCTTTTTATCAGTAATAGAATGTTTGACTGGTGAACATTGAAAACCTTGTTGTTGTTGTTGCTGTTGTTTTAATTTATCATTTAATGTTGTAACCGGTTGTTTTGAATTTTTTACGTCAAATTTTAATGGAGGTAAATTTATCGTCATTTGTTCGGTGGCAGTGTCTGTGAGTGTATGTTCGTGTATGTGTGTAAATTAAAGTCGCTTCGATCAAGCAGATAACACAAGATCATGTGAACACATTTTTGATTGATTGGTATATTTTTTTTAAATCCTAGATAAGACAGACGCCAACCTTGAACATATGTGAACAATTGTGTAACATGTTGATAAATCTTGTCATCCCAACAGAAATCCTGAAAGAACTGTTACTAAGGTGTACCATGAATGTGAATTTTAAATTCGATGGCATACTTTACAGAAAAGTGAATGGGATGGTAATGCGCTCCCTATTGGGTCCCATGCTGGCAGATTTCTTCCTAAGTCAACTAGAAAATGGTCCTTTGAACAATCTTATAAGAAAATTCTCACTGTATTGCCGATATATGGATGATACCTTCATTCTTTTGTGATAATGATTCGGACAAGAACACATTATTATTATTGTTGTTCTCTTGGGTTCCTAGTGGAACATACGGCTTCTGTCTTCTGCTGTAATTTTCACCTGCATCCACGTTACTCCATACTGTTTCAACTCCTCTTCACACGATCTCCTCCATGTCACCCTTGCACTGACGTCCCACTCGCCGCTTCCCTTTCGGGTTCCACTCGAGCACTGGCCTGACGCGCGATGTCACCCAGCGGCCTCCTCAGCGAGTGTCCAATCCATCACCACTTTCTCCTGCATATTTGTTGAGCGATTGGTTCTTGCTTTGTTTGTTCCCATAGTTTCTTGTTGGTGATTCTTTCCAGCCATCGGATCTTCAGTGTAGAGTGAAGACAGTTGTTGATAAAGGTCTGCAACAGAAGAACTGACTGACTTGACGTTTGTATTGAAAATCCGAATTTTGTTGTTGATGCTGAGTGACGAGGATTTCCAGATTGGTTTCAGGTTGATGAATGTGTTTCTCGCCTTCCCGGTTCTCGATTTGACATCCTCGTCCATTCGTCCTGTAGTTGAGACAATGCTCCCTAGATAAGTGAATGAAGTAACCTGGATGTTGCTGTTGTTGTTGTTGGTTGATTATTTTCATAACCTCCATCTAGTCTATGTTCACCTGGAGTCCTGTCTTTGCTGCTTCTTCGACCAGTTTGTCGGTTTTCGCTTGTAAGTCTTCGATTTTGTGTGACATCAAACATAAATCATCTGCGAAATCCACGTCTTCTAGGTGGACAAGAACACAATAATAACTCAATTCAATGAAGTACATTCTGCTATGAAATTCACTTGTGAAGACGAATCCCAGAGTAGAGTTGCCTTCCTAGATGTCTTTCTTACAAGAAAACTAGATGGTAGTATAAAGAGAAATTTGCAAAGGAAATGCACATGAACAGGACAATATACACATTTTCACAGCTTCGTTCCTCTACAGTACAAAAGAAATTCAGTAAGGACCGTCGGCTACATGGTCAGAGGATTGTGCTCAGAAGACCTAATTAAAGATGAAATTAGCATTGTATATGACACCTCAGTTGAAAATAGCTATCCAGAAAAGTTCCTCAGGAAATACATGACCAGAAAAAGTGGAAAAGGACTATTGTATATTCGTAAATAAGAAACCTTTATACGTACGACTGCAATTCAAGGGTGACGCACACCTAATGAAATAATTACTAACAAGTTAACAAGAAAATCTATTCAAAGAACTTTTAATGCCGGTAAGCTACAAGTCATGTTTTCTACACGACCGATGGTGATTCCTCGATTGAAAGATGAAGTACGTAGACTAGACTAGCCAATTCTAATTGTATCTACCAATTCAACTGCGCTTGAGTTAGAGTGAGTTACATTGGCCGTTGCTCTAGGAACTTGATTTTTCGTGCTCGAGAACATCTCCCAGTATGGCTAAGTAAAGGTATAGTGAAAACCATCAACAGTTCGATATTAGACCATCTGGTCCAAACCGGCCACAAAGCCAGCTGGCATTGAAGAATCCTTCTCTGTCATCTACCGGGTGACAAATAAATTGCCAAAAACATCGAAGCACCGCATGCTTCAAACAGCAGAAGCTATGATTCACGTGAAACAACAGTGTTTGTGTGCAAAAGAAGCAAGTCCAGGCAGCCAGTACTACTGCCCTGGCCTTCAGTAGAGACTATAAATTCATGTATTTGTATTATTATCAAATATGGTGATAATTATATTTTAGTGGTTTACACACAATCATAAGTTTTGTTATTGGTAATACTTCGAGCAAAATTACTGCCCGTGTTCACATCACTGTTGGCATTGTTTTGTCTTTTTTAATTCACACATTTATGATTTGTACTCATATATATAGTTCATTTCTATTTTTGGTTCATTCATTTTTGTGTATTCAGAATTATAATCCAGATTGTTGACAGCTGTACTGGTACATGTATATGGTGTGACTTTAATGAATATAGATTCTGTTATAAGCCTCTCTTTCCATTTGGTCATATTAGTTGTTAGAATACAAACATTGTTCCAATCGATATTGTAGTTTTGTCCCATGCATGTGCAGCTATAGATGAATTTTCTTCTAAGTTCTTGTAAGCTTGTGTTCCTGTTGGTTGACCTTTAGTTAGGCGTTTATGTTCATTCACTCTTATTTTGAGTGATCTGGACGTTTGATCCACATATTATTTAGTCGGACAGTCAGCACAAGATATTTTGTAAATCACATTGTTTTTATCCATCATTTTTACGGGATTTTTCAGTTGATTTATTTTATTTTTAATTAGATTCCTCGGTTTAAACGTTGTGCAAATCCCAATATTTTTGAGGTTTCTTCGAATTGCCTCTGATGTACCATTTTTGTATCGTAATGTGACTGTTTTTTGAATTCTTCCGTCTTATCATTCTCCGGTTTTACCCTCTTTTTTTCTTTTTTATATTATCTTTTATAAATTCTTCTGGGTAGTTGTTATCGAGTAACATTTTGAATAGAACGTTTATTTCTTTACGCTGGTCCTCTGGTGTTGTTGTTAGTCTACGTATTCTATCTGCAAGACCTTGTATTAATCCTCGTTTAACCGTGAGTGGATGAGCTGAGTGATAATCAAGGAATCTTCCAGTGTGTAGTTTTTCTGTATAGCGTCGCTTTTATGCTACCATCTGTTACTCTTTGTATTTTGCAGTCTAACATAGGCAGTTCCCCGATTTCATTCTGTGTTTCCATAGTGAATTTTATTCAGTCGACATGACTGTCTATGTGCAAGAAGAATTTCTCAACATTGTTTTTTTTCTCATTATCACTAACGTGTCGTCTACATGTGTCCACCGACATTTTATTGATGACCTGAATGGATTAAGTGCATTCTCTTCCCAAAAATCCATGAATACGTCAGCTATTATTGATGAGATGGGCGATCCCATAGCTACTCCTTCATTTTGTTGGTATATTTTCCCTTCAGATGTGAAATATGTTGTTGTCAGACAGAATTCCACCCCTTTTATTATCTACTGTGTTCTGTCTTTTAGGCCATTATCTTCTTTTAGTTTCTCTTTCAGTGCATTCATGGCCATTTGAACGGGTGTTTTAGTACAGAGACTGTTTACATCAAAGCTGACTAGTATTTCCTCTTCCTCTATTTTAGTGGTTTTTAGTGGTCTCACTAATTCTAATGAATCTATTATTCTAGCTTGTGAGTTGTCTCTTGTCGGTCTTAGTATTGTCGAGAGAAATCTTGATAGCATATACGTCGGTGTGTTTCTAAAGTCTACAATCGGTCTTATTGGATATCCTTCTTTATACAATTTTATCTTGCCATATATCCTAGGCATATTACATGACCCTGGCGTAATTTCAAACCATTTTGACTTACCAATTACTTCTTTCATTGTTTTGTTTGTGATTGTTTCTGCTGATTTCATCATTAGGGTATAGGGGCTAGAATGAAAACGTTCGTTCACCTTTTCATTATATGTTGTTTTTTTAAGTAGTACTGTTGTGTTTCCTTTGTCTGCTTGAGTAATGACAATGGATTTGTCTGCTTTTATGTCTTGAAGTGCTTTTAGTTCCTCCTTCGTTACATTTAGTTTTTCTGCGTTTTACTTTTTTAAGGTTAATGCACATTGTACCCATACCAGTTCTGCTTTTTGCTTGTCATATCCTTCCAGTGCTGTTTCAACCACCGGTATAATCATCTTCAGGTTTTAATCTTTTGTTACTAATACTGATGTTCATCCCTTGCATCAATACGCTTTCCTCTGCTTCTGCTGGCTTTCTGTCTGACATGTTAATCAATCCAATTGGTTTTAGCTACTAGTGTGTTATTCACAGTTTTTGCCATCATGTGTTTATCAGATTTTTTTATTTGTTTCTTCTTCATAGGTAGTTTCTTTTCGTTTTTGTGTAACTTTTGTGCAAGTATGCTTTCATACTTTTCCTTTTCAATTGCTCCTTTCAAGTTTTCTTTTACTTCATTAATATCTTTCCTTATTGTAAATAACTTTCGTATAATTCCATGTAGGTTTTCTTTGATGCATATTTTTCAGGCATGTGTTTATTATTATCTTTCCTAATTTCCCTCTCTGATATTCAGTGTATTGTTATGTTGATCCTGTGGAACTGTAGTCTGTTCATATTACTGATTGACTCGATGTTATTAGTTTTTTTAATCCTTCACGTTCCCAGTGAAACATAGGGCTTCAAGCTAGAGGCTCGAAGTTTCTGTAGCAGTGGTGTTTACTTTTACGGGATGGGGTTGCTAGCCTCATGCCCAACCTTCCCTCTTTGCCAGTTCTATTACTGGCTTAGCGAGGTAAAGGAGTGCCTCCAGTGGCCGGGGATCGAACCCCGGACCATGTGCACGGTAGGCGAGAGTCATAACCGCTGTGTCACCGATTGACTCAATGTTATTTAAACAACATTTGTGCTGTTAATAGCACTAATTCATCATTCATCATAATGCATATGCGAATGTAGAACCTGATGAAGGTAAGGTCATCGAAAATTGGAATATTCTTTGACCAGTGATCAGTTTGTTGAAATTTCTCATGTGGATTTTTGATCAACTTATGA